GCGGTCGACCGGACCGGTCGACCGCCGCCTGACTGATCAAACCGGCTGCATCTAAAGACTGCCTACGTATCCTCTTGCCCAAGGAATCAAGCCGAACGTAGTTCATATTAATGGCCTCCAAAGGCCTCAGCACTGAAGGATGTTCAAAAGCTTCAAACAATGACCAAATTTCACTCCTGAAACAACTTTGGTCAACATATCTGCAGGGTTGTCATTTGTGTGGACCTTCTCCAATATGACATCTCCATCATCCAAGACGTCCCGTACAAAGTGGAATCTGACGTCGATGTGCTTCGTGCGCGCATGATAAACCTGGTTCTTCGCCAAATAGATAGCCGACATACTATCACAATATATCCGAATAGTCTCCTGAGCGATCCCCAAGTCCTCCAATAATCCACGCAACCATAAAGCCTCCTTAATAGCTTCAGTAACTGCCATATACTCTGCCTCTGTAGTAGAGAGAGCCACTGTGGACTGAAGCGTGCAACGCCAACATACAGGTGCACCTGCCAATGTAAAAGCATAACCTGACGTAGACCGGCGTTTGTCAAGATCTCCAGCATAGTCTGAATCCACATATCCAATACAAGCCTGCCCATCCTTCTCATCCTTCTGAAATACTAAACCAACATCCACGGTGCCTCGAACATACCGTAGAATCCACTTCACGGCCTCCCAGTGACCCTTCCCGGGGTCATGCATGTATCTCGATACCATGCTCACGGCCTGTGACAAATCTGGCCTCGTACACACCATCGCATACATCAAGCTACCTACTGCACTAGCATATGGGACCTTCGACATATAATCTCTGTCCTCAACTGAAACAGGTGACATCAACGCTGAAAGCTTGAAGTGGGGAGCCAATGGTGTGCTAACTGCTTTTGCATTGCCATCCAAGCTGAATTTCTTCAACATCTTCTGCAAGTAACTCCTCTGTGTTAGCTTCAATTTCCCCTTCACTCTGTCTCGCTCGATCTCCATACCCAATATCTTCTTTGCCTCTCCAAGATCCTTGATCTCAAACTCGGATGATAACTCCTCTTTCAGCTTTCAAATAACCGAAGAATTCCTGGAAGCAATAAGCATATCATCAACATATAAAAGCAAATATATGAGCTCACCATCCTGTAGCTTGTGCATATAAACACATGGGTCATATGGGCTCCTCGTGTACCCTCGGCCAATCATAAAGCCGTCGAATCTCTTATACCACTGTCTTGGTGACTGCTTCAAACCATAAAGAGACTTCTTCAGCTTACAAACCAAAATTTCCTTTCCTGAAGCTTTGAAACCCTGTGGTTGTGTCATGTAGATCTCCTCATCTAAATCACCATGTAGAAAGGCTGTCTTCACATCCATCTGGACCAAGTCCAAATCCAACTGTGCCACCAACGCCAATAAAATTCTAATCGACGAATGCTTCACAACGGGTGAAAATACCTCATTATAATCAATGCCCTCAAGCTGTGCATATCCCTTGGCAACCAGTCTGGCTTTGAACCGAATGTCCCCAATAGAGGATCCCTCCTTCTTCGTATATACCCACTTGCAACCAATAGCTTTCTTACCCTTAGGTAGATGTGCAAGTGTCCAAGTGTCGTTCTTCTGAAGAGATCGCATCTCCTCCTCCATAGCTTCCCTCCACCTGATCGAATCGGGGCTAGACTCTGCCTCCTTGAATCCTGAATGTGGCTGGAACTATATCATCAACGACCTCCACTGATAATGCATATGCGACCATGACATCATTATACCTAGCTGGCCGACGAATCTCTCTCCTCGGTCTATCTGCTGCAATGGTCCTCTGAACATGACCCTGTTCCTGAGTCCCATGATCTACTGTATCCTGTATCTGCCCATCTGTCATCTCATCTCCTCCCAGTGTCACCTCTGTAGGAGCCTCAATGGATACAGTGTTCTCTGGAGTGGGTGGAGTCACATCATCCTCCACCTGCTGCGATATCTCTCTTGTCTGGTCTCCCTCCACCTGCTGAGGGGCTCGAGGCCTCATCATGTACGCCTCGTCAAATGTGACATCTCTGCTAATAACTATCTTCTTGTCCTGTGGATCCCATAATTTGAAGCCTTTGACTCCATCTCTAAATCCCACAAAGACTGCTTTCCTCGCTCTCGGATTTAATTTACCATCACTGACATGATAATAAGCCGGACACCCAAATATCCGAAGCGACTCATAGTCACTAGCTACCGAACCAAACCAACGCTCCAAAGGAGTCTTCCCGTCTATCGCAGTGCACGGCAACCTGTTCACAAGATGGCTCGCATAAACCAACGCCTCGGCCCAAAAAGATCTAGGCAATCCACTCTGCGTCATCATACACCGCACCTTCTCCAGCAAGGTACGGTTCAATCTCTCAGCCACCCCGTTCTGTTGCGATGTCTCTCGAACTGTGAAGTGTCTTCTAATGCCGTGATCCCGGCAAAACTGCAGAAACGGATCACTCTTGTACTCTCCACCGTTATCTGAACGTAGAGTCTTCACCTTTCTACCTGTCTGCAGCTCCACTTTCTTTTTCCACTCCACAAAAATATCCAGGACCTGATGTTTATGCTTCATCGGGTATACCCAATTCCTCCTGGAATAATCATCAATGAAAGTGACAAAATAGTTGGCCCCACCAAGAGATGTGTTCTTGGAAGGACCCCAAACGTCCGTGTGAATATAATCCAATGTACCTTGGGTGTTATGAACAGCGGTGCCGAACTTCACTCTAGTCTTCTTCCCAAGTACACAATGCTCACACAATTCCATCTTGCAGGTCTTAGCACCTTTCAATAGCCCCTGTTTAGCCAATGACTGTAGGGACTTATCTCCTGTGTGTCCAAGTCTCATGTGCCATAAGGTGGTAGTGTCCTCCTCTGTAGTGATAGAAGCTGCCAGACCCCCTGTAACTGTCTTGCCCTTCAAGTAGTATAGGTAGTTTTCCCTGACACCTCGCATCACCACCATAGAACCCTTCGTGACCTTCACTGTAGCATCCTCTAAGATCACTCGATATCCTGCTGCCTCCAAAGTCCCAAGAGAAATGATGTTCTTCGTCAACTGCGGCACGAACCTCACTTCCTTCAATTCCCTCACTACACCATCATGCATCCTGATCCGGACTGAACCAATACCACCAATAGGGCATACGTGATCATTACCCATAAGCACGACATCCCCTCTTTCCAGCTCCTCAAAGCTAGAAAACCACTCCCTCTTAGGGCAGATGTGATATGTAGCTCCCGAATCCATCATCCACTCCGTGGAATCCGCATAGCAAACCGACGGTAAAGCAGGGCATGAATAGCCTGAAGAATCTGAATCTGAATGCTCACCAATAGCTTTTGCAACATTCACTTCTGAAGCTTGTGCAGCTTTCCCCTTATTCTTTCCGGCTTTTTCTTTCCACTTTGGGCAGTCAATCTTCCAATGTCCTTCTTCTTTACAATACCGACATTGATTTCTACCAACACTCTTATAGGCACTCCTATTCTTTGACTTTGAGCGGTTAAACTGACGACGGTTTGGATCTCGGCCTCGAACTGCTAACGCATCTCCCGATGCCTTCTCGGAGGGTTCACCATCACTCTTCCTCAACTCATAGTTCACCAAAGCTGAGGTCACCTCCTTGTAGCTAACTGTAGTTCTTCCATTGATCATAGTGAGAACGAACGTACCATAATCATCTTCGGGCAACGAACACAGAAGTAGCATCGCCTTGTCTTCATCCTCAACTATAATATCAACATTGGCCATATCTGAAAGTAGCTTAGTGAAATTGTTGACATGCTCCCTGATGGAAACCCCTCTCTTCATCTTGAACTGGTAAAATCTCTTCTTCAAGTGAAGCCGATTCTCAATGCTCTTCGTAAGATATTTCTCATTGAGTGTTTCCCACATCTTCTTCGCCGACGTCTCGTTCATAACATCATAAATAAGATCCGGCGTCAAGCATGACCTAATAACACCACAAGCTCTACTGTTCATCTTTCTCCAAACCTTATCCTCCAACTCAGCGGGTTTCTCTTTTAACTCAAGAGTCTCCTCCAAATTCTGTGCATCCAAAGCATCCATCACCTGACACCTCCACAATCCAAAATTGATCTTGCCATCGAACTTCGGAACATCAATCTTCGTGTTATTGATGCTCAGACTCTGTATCGCCTTTGTTAGAGACGAACCTGACGTGCTTGCATCTCCCATGTTGTCGATCTAGCTCTGATACCAATTGTTGTGCGCGGCGGAAGCTTTCTAGGGCAACACGAACAATAACTCGAACTAAACCACAAACAATATGCAAACCACAATCACAGCAAGAACACACAATTTACGTGGTTCGGCAAGTTGCCTACGTCCACGGGGCAAGGAGGGGGGAGTTCTTTCTACTAGAAATCAAGAGAATACAAATAGGGTTACAAATCTCTCAGACCAAACCCTAAAACAAAGCTCTAGATCTCTCAAAGCTCTCTCACAATTGGATGCAATGATTCTCTCTCTTTGGCTGCTCAAATTCGTCCAACCTCTACCCTAAACAAACAGGTTTAGGTATATATAGAACTTACAAAACGAATCGGGTCGAAAACCTGAAAGCCCAGCCCAAAACAGCGTCGGTCGACCGGACCGGTCGACCGCGATCAATTCCGGTCGACCGGACCGGTCGACCGACCAGCTCTCAGTAGAAAACCCAAACTCCAGAGAACCGTCGGTCGACCGCACCGGTCGACCGATCTCCTTCCAGACGCACAGGAAGCCTTGTGCACGAATGCGGTGGACCGGACCGGTCGACCGCCGCCTGGTTTGCCTGATTCTTCTGAGTTTCTGTAATTTCCTCACGAATAATAATTGAACTTTTGATAGTCATTCCATCAATTTCCATCATTACTGGTATGCCCTCTTAAAAGGACATATTACATTCTAATATATCTGGTCATTGCCAATTGTATCATGGAGTCCTCTTTTCTTCTTTCTGAAAATAATGAGAAATTTTCACAGTTCAAAATATCCATGTCATTTCACATAAAAAAAGAAACCTACAATTATGCATAGTAATAATACAAAGGGACTGAAAAAAAAACACTACTTTACAGCAACACGCTCAACTTGAGTAAACCTTGCCTCTGTTTCATACAAGAATCAAGTATTCCTCTGGCTCATACCGATACAAAGATTAATTAGTAAACAATTTGTGGCTCAAACTCAGCAAAATCAACAGACCCAGACTCAACTGGGGGCATTAAGTAAGCAGCCAAGAGCTCAGAGACCAACGCAGCAATAAGAGGAACTCTCTTCAAGTTCTTCACTAACGGAATGTCTTCAGTCTGTCCAATGGCAAGAATCTTTTGGTTGATCTCCACCATTCTGTCCAATTTCCTCTTGAACTCTGGATTCTCGACATCAAGAACTGCGGGGAATATCCTCGCTGTAGTGCGATTAGTCTGCAATAAATTAATTCAGTACTAGTATCAGTGTGAACTTGGTTGGTAGCAGTTAATGATAACGATTAACTTAGTGGAAGCGAAAACTCTGAATAAAACTCAAACATAGGATAGGATTCATGTAACCGATCCCTCACTTTTTGGATAACGTTGTGTTGGGTGTTATGATATGGCATGACATGTCTGTTATGTGATTAAATAATTATTAATTAGATGATAATTTTATCATTGGATATGTTATGGAATTTTTTTAGAGCACTACAGTAAGAAGATATAAGTGAAGATTATGGCTTTGGTACAGTTGGTATTTTCTACATGGAGAAGAAACTGTGATTCTCCTTTAGAAGGTCACTTTAAGGTGTGATAGATGGAGATTATTCATACTCAAAGAGAATCATTTAAAATATAATGAATGGTTCAACTTCCATCAATTGATTTGTGGTAAAAGGGTATATTTTCTCTCATGCATTGAACAGGAAGCAATTAGTTCTAAGTGGTCTGTGGGGGATTTCTGTCATCTGATTCATAAGTGATGAGATAAGATAATTCAAAGAATTTGACATATGCTAACTGCTATATTCTTCATGGAAATATGTCATTCATAAGTTAGTACAATGTTCTTGAAATATATGGGCAATACTCACCTCAATGATCACGTGCATATCAAACTCTTTGGTGTCAAGGCCAATGCCTTCATAGAAAGCAGTCCTTTGACAATCATTCAGGTACATAGTCACATAGACCTGCACAAATCACAAAGTAAGTTACAAATAAACAAGTTTACAGACTAAATTAGTCTTGAGCAAAGAAGGGTAATTTTAACAAAATAACCCGAAGTTTTCAGGGTTTTGCACAAGATCTCCCAAACTTACCGAGAGACAGAAGAATCGAGACCACAACTTAGCCTTCCAGTCATTAAGGAACTGAGGCTGAGCCTTGAGCAAAGCAGAGAAGAAATCTCCATGTCTGTTCTCATCCTGGCACCAGTTCTCAAAGTACTTGAAGATTGGATACACTTGGAACTCAGGATTGGCTTTCAAATGCCTGTAAATTGTTATGTACCTCCAATATCCAATCTTTTCAGAGAGGTATGTTGCATAAAAGATGAACTTTGGCTTGAAGAATGTGTATTTCCTAGCTTTTGTCAGGAATCCTAAATCCAGTGCCAGGTTGAAATCAGAGAGACCTTTGTTCAAAAACCTGCATATAAAGTGAATAATATCACGTAAATTTGTATCGTTGACGATGGTAAATAAGATAAAACTATAATCCTGTATGGTTATTTACCCTGCATGCCTAGCTTCATCCCTCGACATGAGAGAGAAGATCTCAGCCACGACTGGATTGGTTTTCTGCCAAAATATTTGGTTATAAGGTTAAATCAGTTTATAATCAAAAGCCTTAGATAAATGCAATCGTTTGAATCATAGATATAGCTCAGTGCATTGCAGCTTATGATTAAAGCAAGCAAAAGAAATGGCATGTATATGAAAATAATTGATTAAATTGTCTTCATCTCTACCAATTCTTTCAGATTTCTCAAAACAATGTTAAACCCACAAATTTTATCAACTCTACACTAGAACCAGAATAAATAAGACCCTAAACACTATATAAGAAGGGATTTTTTTTTTGGAAATAGTTTATCTGCAAACACACCACTTCCAAAATACAGATATAGCTAGTTATCACAAAATTTCTATTTTTTGGGTAATTTTGAAGAAAAAACTAGCGAAAAATGACAGTCCTTTAACTGCTGGTTGATAAGCAGAAACAACCCATAAAAAGGTGCATATGCAAATTGCCCAAATTATTTTTCTGTGTACATAAATTTCCTTCTTTAACTGGTACTAACTTGGTTACTAGCTAAAAAGGGAACATAATGCTAACGAATTAAGGCTAAAACTATAACTGCAAATTTAATGCAACAGTTAAATTACATAATTATAAGAATTTGCAGAACCAAACCTTGAGCCTTCGGCCGAGCTCCTTGTACAACAAAAACCCAGAAAACTCAGCAGTGCAGGACCTCTCCAAGAACTCCACAAAGATCTGCCTCAATGGCCCCTGCATCTTATCAGCAGCCTCTTTAAACTCCTGATTCCTAACGAAATGGGTCTGGTTGTAATCGGTCTTGAACTCATTCAGCAGAGCCTCAAACTCTGACTGATTCAGATTCTTGTTGATTTCTTTATTGAAGAGCATCTCCATCTCATCGAAGTCTGTAGTGTAGAACCTTGGGGCCAGAAGGGTCTCCTTGATCTCAGTCTTGGCCGACTTCTTGGGCCTTGTGGAGGTTGCGGAGGCGTTGATGCTGAAATTGGGCCTGAGAGCGGAGAACCTTGAGGTGGGCCTGTAGATGGGCTTGATGGGCTTTATGAGGGAGAGCTCTGCTGCTGCTGCTGCTGCTGCTGTTGCTATTGTGCTGCTGTAGCCATTGTTGCTGAGAGGTCGAAGAGAGTGGAATTTGGGATTTGGCAACGGGTCGCGTGATAATATTAGAGGGTTTTTTTTTTGCTTTGGTGATCGGATGTCTCATCCGTGAGAAATCTATCCGAGCTAATGGGTTGCTGACACGTGGAAGGTGGAGTTGAGGGATGTCTCTGATCTTGGGGGTAATCAGGGTAAGTGGTGGATATGATTACACGTGGCAGTAAGTCTGTGGCTTGGGTTTCTATTGCTCGGTGAATGGTGGAAAATTAGTTCTCACGATATTAATCAATTTTGTAATTGTTTCTAATTTTACTTTCAGAATATCTCACAAGAAAGCACAATAGCCTGAAGTCTGAAATAAATATTCGAGATGTAGGGCGGTGGTTTAGATATTTTAACAGTCTTTTGTATGCTCAAAGCAGTGAATTTCATTTTGATGTGTGTGATGAATTTTAAAGAACTCATACTATAAAAATTTTGTCTGATTGCACTGGGTATCAAATAAGATCTGCATGGGGAGTAAAATGCAATCAAGCTTTGTTTGGTTGCGTATGAATTTTGTTAAGGATACGTGACCAAAATTACAAATCCGAATAAAATCAGTATAATTTTAGGGAATTATATTTTATGCAACTATTCTACTTGGCAACCTCACATGTGGCATGAAAAATACCAAAGAAAAGATGTAATTAATACAAATACATGATGATGGGGTTGTTTGTTTCCATGCATCTTGCATCATTGCATTAAAAAAAGGGGACTCACAAGTTAAAAAATCATCAATTTTTAGTGAATACATTGCTCGTTTGTCATTTTTTTATACATCGCTTTGGGATTATTATATAGGATAAATGCATCAAATATATTTCCCTAAATTATGTTGATTTCAACTAGTTTTGTGTATTTACCCATATATCATCAAGAAAATTCATGTACAAGCAAATGAAATTTAATTGAATTTTACCCCTCATGCATATCCTCTTAATATACATCATAAACAAACACGATTTTAATTATCGAATTTTCAAAATTCATTACATGCATCAAGATTAATCCATAAACCAAACAACCCCTACTTTTTAACTTGTAGTCCCGTTCTTCAAGACAAAACCCATCAAATGCATGGTAACAGCTGGGTGATTTATTTAAAATTACAATTGCAGTTACAATTTGAAACAATATCTTCATTCGCCTGTTTTTGCTATACTTGTGGGGTTTTGGTAATTGTAGTCATCAAAATGAGCTATTTTACGCAAAAGAAACCCGCTTGTTACATGTCATTTTCTTAGAAGTGATTCCTTGTTTTACAACTATAATTGAGAGAGAAAACAATGATAAAGAAAACTGCACGTTTAGCAAAAGAATACTCATAAATCAATAGCTTGATTGTGGTAGTGTAATACCCCAAAAAGAATAGTCCCACATCAGAAGTGTAAGACCCAGTAGATTTTTGAGTATGTATATGTACATCAGTCATGAGGTTGAGTGCGCAAGATTTCAAATCATATGCAGCAGAGTGCTAGTATGCAGTTTCGAGGTCCATGAGTCGACCCATGACAGTCATGAGTCGACTCACGAAATCGAGTCATGTTGCCATTTAGTCTCTGTTGAGTCGACTCATCATATTATGAGTCGACCCATGAGTCATGAGTCGACCCATGACAGTCATGAGTCGACTCATCGGGGTCTTTCTGGTCTTTCTGGATCGGGTATGTTGGGTTTCGGGTCGGGTTTTATCTACTCGTATATATTCCCCTCTACCCGAAAACACTTCATTTTCATCAGTTCTCCCCAGAAACCCTAGACTCTCTCTCTCCTCTCTAAAACCCTAGGCGTTCTTGGTGATTTTGGGACGTTTCAAGGGATTTTTCGACAGTTTCTTTTGGATTGCAGCGAAGGGGATTGTTCATCATCACTTCTAAGGCGAGTAACATCTCGCCCAACCCTTCTCCCATGTTTTTAATAATTTATAACTGTTTTCCATAAGTTTTATTGAGCCTAAGACTTATTTTTCTAGTATAAATCAATATCCTTGTTAGAGTAAATGCTAGAAATCATGTATTTCGGATTTTGAATCCCCACCAACAAGCTTTTGATGAAAACCCAGATCTGGAATTTTATTTAAAGAAATAAAAGATGAGTTTTACTTTTGATTAAATGCTTTCTCTCATGTTTAGGTGTTAAAAGTTAGGTCTAACATGCTAGTGTTCGTTTCTCATGCTATATATGAATTTATCACTGCCTTATAGTCTAGAATTGATAGTTAGGGAGGTGAAGATCAGTTTGGTGGGAGTATAGAACGAGATGGACGAGTTGCAACTGTGAAATATCCTGTTATCAGCCCGTGAGTTGACTCATGACAGTCATGAGTCGACTCATCAGGTTGAGTCGACCCATGACTATCATGAGCCGACTCATAAAGTCTATCCTTGTTATTCATTAGTGTCTTCCGAGTCGACCCATCAGTTCACGAGTCGACCCATGAGACATGAGTCGACCCATAAATGAGCACGAGTCGACTCATCACAGTATTTTCCAGTTTCGTTTGTGTTGCTGTTTAATCATCTGCTGTATACCTATAAATGATCATATATACATATGTTCGAGGATATTGTCTACTATTCTTGAACTTGGGGTGTTGCCTTGCTTATTGGATATTTAATTGCAGTGATCTTGACTTTTCCCTGTACCTGTAAGATGACAATTTATATATATATATATATATGTTCGAGGATATTGTCTACCATTCTTGAACTTGGGGTGTTGCCTTGCTTATCGGATATTTTAATTACAGTGATCTTGATTTTTCCCTGTACCTGTAAGATGATAATTGCGGCATAGGCTTAGATCATCATAGCAGAGCATGTACAGGAATAAGACATGTATATCCTTCTATGCACAGTCCTCGTGTTGGACTATAATCCATTACAAGTCCTCGTGTTGAACTATAATCCATTAGAGTCCTCGTGTTGGACTATAATCCATTTCAAACATGTTTTAGACTATTGCTAAACCTTGAGCATGTTACGTAATCAAGTTGGGTACATGATATGTTGTATTAGAATGGGACATGATAGCTACCTAGGTTGTGCATGAAACCTATTGTAGCTTTGTCATGTTTACACTTTATTGGTAGGGATGAGTATGTATTCTTTTCTTTATTTATTTCTTATGACCAACCTCGGGTTTAATATTTAGGGATCTACAATTTGAGATACAAGGTATATACATGAGGGTTTCCTTGTTTGGATTATTTCGCTCGACGTACCTATGCTCGTGTTGTATTTCCCTAAGTACTAAAACCCATAAATGATTGTGTAAATGATTTATATTATTATGTATTAAATGTATTTTCATGTACAACGAGCCCTATCCCTTGGGGTTGGTTGTGATATTGCTCGCTAGCGCTTTGACGCTCGTTGTCCCTCCCCCTTTCAGGTAACGAGCCAGGAGCCCGGAGAGTCGCAGGTTGACGGCGATGCACTTTAGCTTCAGCCATCTATTTTAGTTATATTTTCTTTGAGCTCCACTGTAGACTTCTGTTTAGACATTTAAGAGTTTTATTCTAGAAGTTGTAAAGGCTGTGTGCCTTATTTTCTCTTGTCAGACATTTTGTATTTTAAGATGAGAACTCCAGTTTATTTATTTCAGACATTTATTTGTACTCCAACATATTTGATGGTGAAATATTAATTTGATCTCTATTATTTCATCAGTTGATTTTTGTATAACATTTACTTGCTTTGTACTACACCTGTTGTTGATTCCACTAGAGAGATAGAAATTGTGATGGTGAAACATGTTATTGCACGGTGTGATGCATGGCAGGTTTAACATTTCTGGTTTCTCCTCGGACTGCAGCCTTGTGTGAACCCAGGGGCGTCACAGTTGGTATCAGAGCTCTAGTTCCAGTATCCTTAGGATCATCCTGTGTCGAGTCGTGGAGCTAGGTTAGAGTTTCTTAGGATTCATGTGTAGAGTCCGCTAAGGATTTCCTAGTATGAGTGAGGATGATATATGCGTATATCTCAAAATGTTGAGAAAATTTTTTTATGACAACTATTTTTGCTTAAAGTACATGTGTGAATATTATGTGATGTGAAAATCATGTTGTGATGAACTATGTATGTACGTTTACTTTGACTCATGAACCTTATTTTCCTTATGATCAGAGAGATGGCAGGACGTGGGAGACCCCGCACTCGAAGAGCCGCTCAGGCAGAGCCCCAGCAGGCCCCACCTGAGCCGCATCAGGCTCCACCCGAGCAGGAGCAGGCACCACCAGAGCCGCAGCAGGCTCCTTAGTATTTGGTGGATATCATGGCTCCTCTTATTGTCAGGATGACAGCCATTGAGGAGTTGGTAACTACTCATATAGCACCACAGACACCACCACCACCGGTAGCTCAGCAGCAGGGGATACTAGCCATCCCGATCAGAGAGAGAGACCCAAAGGTAGCACCAGCAGCTATTCCACTAGCGGTACCAGATAGAGCCACAGGTCAGGAAGCTTGGCTCCGTATAGTAGAGAGGTATCAGAAGATGAGGGCACCCGAGCTCCAGGGGTCACCAGACCCTCTTGCAGCACACAAGTGGAAGGAGGATGTGAGCAATATACTTGACATACTCAGTGTAGATTCGGTTCAGAAGCAGAGGTTGGCATCCTACAGTTTGAAGAGAGATGCCGGGAGATGGTACCGATTACAGTTTACCCCAGAGCAAAGGATGACCCTCACATGGGAGGATTTTATCTACTTCTTTGATGGGCAGTATATTTCTTCTGCAGCCCGGACTGGGAAGGAGCTTGAGTTGTCCCAGATGACTCAGGGGACATGACAGTGGCAGATTATGAGAGCCGGTTTATGGAGTTGCTGCATTTCACGGGTATGTGGCAGACAGGAGAGCGTCAAGCTCAGATGTTTTTAGCAGGGCTACGCTCTAATCTCCACCGGTACCTCGTCTCGAGGAGGTTCTATTCCGTTAGGGAGGTAGCTGAGGCCACCACCTCACAGGAG